AAATTAAGGAAATCTGCCAAACCTCATAAATAAGTAGGCCAGCCTAGTAGTCATTCTGTTGCTTCTTAGATGATTGCTTAGGAAATCCTGCTTCGGCAGTCAGCCTGCTGTTTTTTATTGGTGGATTCCATACGAACGGTAAAGTTGGGCGAGTAAAATCGATCCAAGTGTGATTAGACTCACGGCGCTAGGTGTGGCATTTGTAGCTTAACTGATAGAGCATTGGCTGTGTAAAGTCCTTCCCTACTATGCGGGTTGAAATCCCGTCGAATGCCGTGGGTTTTTTCACAATTGGGGCAACTAAATCAAGCAAATCTGCCAAACCTCCTAAACAATTTACACATATTATGTTTTGTTTTAAGTCTGTTGCAATCCAGGTAGAGATGCGAACATTGCAGGCATTAAGATGGGTCCAAACGAGGCAACCTAAATGTTCTTACAGACATTATTTATCCTTAGACTACGGCTGGATCACATGTGTCAGCAGTCTAGCAATAAAAGAATTGTGTTGCTCAGAAATCAACTCAAACTACTTATAAGCGTCTCATCCGTTGAGCACATCACTGTAATTTTAAAAGATTGGGACTACCCGAACGGGATTTCAATTCTGTGTGTGAGCACTGTGCTTCGCTAACGAGCAACTGCTTTGCGAAAGACTAACCCTTAGATTTTTACTTTTAAAGCAGATTGTCTAGCAAAGGTAGTTTAAGTAGTGCACCTCATATCTCCCTTGTTCCAGCCTTTTTTCCCACGGAAAAGGTGGTTATAGGGATTTTGGGGGTGGTGAAATAGGATAAGCAATGAGGGAAATTCGTAGAAGTAAGTGGAAAGTGAAAAAAAGTGTAGTTAAATGTCGTTCCCGCGGCTGCTGGCAAGAAGTTGTTCCACATGTAAATTGAAGGTTGCGCGTCGCTTTGCGCCGCGGACTATACTAATCTAACTCCAGAACGGTAAGGTGGACCTCAGGTAAGTTGAAGGAAACGACCTCCTGACCACTATTTCTGTCTTTTCGGGAATTTCAAGAAACCTGCATTTGGATAATCGGTTTTTTTCCGCAAAACGTTAAACGATAAAACGGATTAGGAAAATATACAGGTGTAAGTCAGCAAAATTTATAAAAACGATAAAGTTAAAATGCATATAGCAGTTAGTAAAGAAATCTTACTGCCTATCCTAATTCCCCACGCATAAAACCCCTACAACCACCGTTTCCGTAGGACAAAATGCTAAGTCATGGGGTTTCTAAGGTGCACTACCTCAACTACTGTTGCCTACTGTCTAGTTCATGAAATGTCATGATATAAACAAGAAAATATTCCTCTAGATTCTGGATCCAGATATGTTATCGCGTTCGTCGCTTCCCAAAGAAGAGGAAGAAGAAGAGGGTCCGGATTCGTGAACCAAATTATATTTGAGCTGACTTTTCGGAACCCTTCTCACTTCCGCAGTCAAAGTAATGTAGTTGCTGCGTCTGGTTGTCTTGAGTTAGCCAGCCTTACGGGCTGCCTCGTATTATATCCGTGTTGGACGCGCGAACTTCGAACTGCCTGCTCGTCGCCAATTAAATTTGGTCTCCTGGATGTTGGCTGCATGTGGACTTGCGTGACCTTCGTCCCTTCTCCGGAAAGGAGAATGCATGTTGCGCGAAATCGGCCCATGCGGCGTTTCCCAAGTTTAATAGCAAAACAAGTAAAAAGAATACACGGGTTGGTTAATGAATTAGTATTTACTAACACGGAAA